CTAGTGATAGTGCTACTATTAGTTCTAGTTTTAGTTCAATAAATAGAATAATGTTACATTTTGTTTACCCTAACAGTTTTTGTAGCGTCTTCCTGGATGGTAATAAAAAGAAATTTGATAAGAACCGGTATCCTTTACCACTTTGTTTGTAAAGAGCCAGCACTTCTTTTTTCTGATTTCGGGACTGGCTGCTAAAGAAATTTCTAGTTTGTTTATTCAAATATTTGAGGTTCACCAATACCTGAGGATTTTTCCTCAATTGTATTAGCTTTTGCCTTGTTATTCTGCCACTTTCTTAGCGCGACACAACGCTTTTTTTACTCCAGATAGGTTGCAATTGCTGCAGTTCTTTGTAAAAGGTAATTTCCTCCGTTTCTTATCTACAAAAATAAAGATAATTTTAAATAAGAATGATTATTCAGTTTTTATGGTATTTACCAATTATTTCTTTTTCATCACTTAGGTGGAATCGTGGAATGTTGGTTGATCTTGTGGAGACAAAAAGCAATTATTTATAGGTTCTTCTTACAAATCTAAATGATTTAAAAAACATATATAGATTAAAAATCAAATTTTTTATCCAAAATTTCATTTACCTAGTAAGTATAATGTAAGTAGCTTTTTCAATTTCTTCTCAACATATTTGCACATTGTTGCAAAATGGTTGGGGCAAACACAATAGTTACTTAGACGCTTATCATTAATTAATTCAAATAATTTTGAATTGTGTATTCCAGAGAGCCAAGCCATTCGAATAATAGAGTCGGTCGGAAAATAATATCTAGAAATACAGAATAAAAGTAATTATGCTGTATTAATTAATAATTTTTATAATTTACCTTTTACACAGCAAGGATTAATAACCGACACTTTTATCATTTAAAAAATTTTAAATGTTTTTTACACTTTTTTACACTTAATTACAAAATTACACTCATAAATTACATTTATTAAATAATTAACTGATTTATCAATATCATTTATATTTGACATCACTTAATTTAATCAAAGATGAATACAAAAAAAAGAAATGAAATATAAGCCACCTTAAAGGTTGTTTAAATTTGAATTTGTGTAGAATTAGTTATCGACGGTGACATCGGATGGCGTTGACGACGGTTACAATTTTCATTCATTTGAGATCCCCCCCCATGGTTGACAGTACTATACGTCAACAGATGCGTTTCTTTTTATATGCATTTCAAATAGTCTGTTGCTGAACCAATATTTATTTTCCTTTATTGGAAATCGAAATATTGGTAATAAAAACAGCGTCTTTCAATTCAAGACTGAATGTTTCGTTACTCCTTTTCCTTTTATAGCCATTATCATTTCCTGTTGTGGGAGGGAATATATGTGGCAACCACCACAATTATAAATTAAATCATAAATGAATAAATCATAGTAATAAGTTCTTTTTTAAACAAAAATTGTAAATCCATAGTGATACAAAAAGTTTGTTTATTATTATTATTATAACAAAAATAAAAAGTCAAGTCACGTTGTAACGAAAATTGGTTTTAATCTCTTTTTAAATTGTCCCACAAATTGGTGACTCTTCCCACAGTGCCCTACTCGACTGAGTGATTTTCGGCCAATATCGATACTTTCCGTATTATCTAAGGCACTTGAACGCTTGGTGTACAATCAAGTGCAGGATTACCTTGATGAGCATAAACTACTTACAGACTATCAATCTGGTTTCGTCAAGGTTACTGATGATATTAAGCGTAGCTGTGACGATCGACGAATAACCTTGTTAGTTTTGCTGGACTTCAGCAAAGCATTTGATGCTGTGGATCATAGCTTACTGGTGTCGTCTCTGTCTGCTATGGGCTTTGCCCCTGAGTGCGTTACTTGGTTTAGATCATACCTTTCTCAACGTTCCTTTTGTGTGCGTGACACTTCATCTTCTTCTTCTGTGTTTCAAAGTCATAGTGGTGTGCCTCAGGGAAGTGTATTGGGTCCATTACTCTTTTCAATTTTTATAAACAGTGTTACCAAATTCATTTCATGCAACTATCATTTATATGCGGATGATCTTCAAATCTATACATCAACAACTGTGAATGAGCTCCCGGTATCCATGGCGCGGCTTAATGATGATCTGTCCAGGATACTTCAGTGGTCTAAATGTTTTGGCCTGAGTTTAAATATTGCCAAGATGCAAGCTATAGCATTCGGCTCAAAACCTTTACTTGCAAAATTTTACTCAAAAACTTGGGGGTGACAATGGACTCAGCGCTGTCTTGGCGGTATCAGATTCAGTCTGTTTGTAGGAAGATCTATTTTTGTTTTCATTCTTTGCGTAAACTTGGTTGTTTTCTTCCCCTTGCTGTTCGTCGTAATCTCTGTTACTCATTAATACTGCCCCACATAGATTATGCTGATGCTGTGTATCCCGACCTGGCAATTACCCTCCGTAACAAATTAGAAAGATTGCAGAACAACTGTCTACGCTTCAAATGTTGACTGTCGAAAAGCGCAGATCATTCCGTATACTGACAACGCTGTATAAGATACTTTCTTCTCGGACCCTAGGATACTTGTACACGAACTTTCAATTCATGTCGTCTCGCGGTCTGCCTACTAGAGCACAGTCTGATACGTTACTCATATTTCCCATTCATCGCACCGAGAGATATCATGGATCTTTCACGGTGCAGGCTATAAAGCTTTGGAATAGTTTACCCATGGAAATACGCAACACTCGTAGTTTTCTGACATTTAAGGTCTGCTTAAGGAATTATCTATTATCATTACAATTATCGGAATCTGATCTCTTATTATTATTATTGTTATAACACGGAGGAATTTAGAAATCATGACACTCTCCATACCGATTGGGCTACCGTTTGATTCCAGTTAACACCCTCTGCTGTAGCAGCTGCACCCCACAGGGTATTACAAATTTCAAGAAAAAAAGGTTTTCTCATTCTTGCACCCCGTATATGCTCAAATTAATATCCGAATAAAAATTTCAGAAGAATCAACCTTTCGATCAAAAAAAGAATCATCAAAATCAAATGAGTGGTTCGTGAGTAAGCCATCTTTGAAATTGTGGCTACATTTTAGTGGCCTTTTTTTTTTGCCAGTCAGTGTATTTAGTGATTTGTAGATTAAGCTGATAAGGTTTTTTTAACTAAAACATTTTTATAGTAAACACTATTATTATATTTAATACATATAAATTACTATTAATAAAGATAAGGCAAATCAATAGTAAAAAAATTATATTTATAATTATTTTATAGCAAGTATGTATGTATACTTATATCTCGGACCAGATTGACGTCACACTAACTACCACGTGGAACTTTTTGAGAGGGGATTCTTGTCAAAAGGAAAACGTTTAGTAAGTCGACTAACCTCATGTTGTATAGAACTTGAGTTGATTAAACCGATAACATTTTACTGTAACATAATTTTCGTTCAAATTAGACAGAATTAATTTACAAAATTAAACGACATTGTGTGTTAGATGTAAAGGAATATCCACAAGAAATTGCAAAAAAGTTAAGTGTTAAAATCAAGATTTTTAAGAATTATTTATTATTTCTTTTTGGGGGATTTACCTGTATACTTAAAATCTATGATAAGTCCATTGTTTTAAAAATCACATTTTGGCATATTTATAGCATCATAGATTGTCAGACAGAGTTCTACAGTTTTCCTATTTTTATTTAGACCAAAGTTCATCCAGGTAAGTACGTCTATACGCAAATATAACCTTAAATTTTTTTTTTTACGTTTTGTTTTTATTCTAGATTAACATTATTACGATGACTTTGCATACAGGACCAATTATAGACGCTTTAATTCAATTAGCTGAAGTACAAGAATTTAAAGTAACTGTGGTTGAATCATTAAAAGGAGCAGCATTTACTGGAGGTTGTGCTTTCGTTGGTGGATTAGTTGGTGGACCAATTGGTTTAGGAGTAGGTAATTTATCGTTTTATTAATATATAATAATAAATTTTCTAATCTAATTCATATATTTTTAGGTGGTGTTGTTGGAGCTTGTCTAGCAGCTGCTAAAGGGCATGGAAAATATAAATCTCTAGTTCATGTTATACAACATGATATGACATACCAACAAAAAGAACAATTAGCTTTATGTGTACAACGTGCTGTGGCAAATATTCGCAAGGAAGATATTCTAATGCTATTACCATTATTGCTTCAAGGTGGTCCCATTCAAACTGTTGTTATAAATACATTGAAATCATTTTTGCTTAAGGAATTAGGAATGAGACTGACATAATAAATTATAATTTTATATTCCTTTTTTATAAATTATAATAATTATATTTTATATTTTTTGGAAAAATATCAAATTTCATTAAACATCTCAACAATTTTATATAGAAATAATATCAGTTGAAAACCTTGTAAATCTAAGATAGTTAACATTACATTGATGCATTCTTTATAATTTTATCTTTCCAAAATGGGATAAAACGGTTTTATACAATCAATACTTCATGAATTATGGCAATTAAAAAAAATCAAGAAAAAGCATAACTTTCAAAAGTGAAAACAAAATCGTATTTGTTGTATAATCTCTTAAATACAAACAAATTGAAATAATTTCGGCTTTTGCTGCTTAAAGAATGCCAAACTTATCCTTATAAAATACTCTAATGGTTTTCCTAAAAAACCTGTAATACCATCAGGTTTTAAAGGAGTACATATACAGTAATGTCCGCTTATAATAAACGCCTACGGACTTCGCCAAAGGGTTGATGTTTAAAATTCAATTTATAATTTCAAAATTAATTTTTTTATTCATTTATTTATTTTAATTTTTGGTTGAGTGCCGAGTGGTGTGTGCGCAGAAATTTCAATATAGGACTGGGATATTGTAAACCTTTAGCTGACATTATTGAAAAGTTAGCTTTAGCTGCAAAATATCTTGTTAAAAACATACGTATAGAAGATCTAAAGCCATTGCTAATGTTGTTATTAAGTTTTCGTTCAACAACATATTAATGTAAACGCCTGACAATTATGTTTACTTATTTTTACATAAAATGTGTGAGTCATTATGAAAATCTTTTTATTAAATATGTGTATATATCTGTACCTTAGAGGTAAAGGATTGTATCTCCATTATTTTAGGNTTGTCGGAGAACCTGTTTACCAGTAACTTGTATTCCATCCTTTCTTTTTTCAGTTATCCAATTTTTTAATTGAATTTCTATTTGTGGCCAACGTGCAGTTCTTCTCCGCTTAATTGTTGTTATTTTAGTGCTCGACATTTCAGCAAAATCTTTTTCATTTTGACACCAGTGACGTATCATTGACTCGTCAATATTCAGATGTTTAGCAGCATATCTGTTACTTTTCGCTTTAGCAAGTTGGATTGCTACTAATTTAAATTTTGCTGTATATGAGTGTCTTTTCGCGGTTTTTGCGGACATTCTACAAAGATAAAATATTATTAATATAAAGTGGCTGAATAACTCGTAAACACCTTTATTAAATATATCAACTTACCTAATTATTCGTGATTTAGAACTTACCTTAATAAACAGTAACCTAACCTCTCTCAAAACAGCCAGCTAACAATAAGAACACCATGCGACCGGCGCAGGGCACATTGCAGAAAGAAATAAACAAAATGACCCTTACTGCTCAACACATCTGAATGTGTGTGGCTTATAATTGAGAGCGGTTTGTATTTGAGTGCGGCTTATATTTGTGTGCGGCTTATTAGGGATAAAATGTAGAAAAAATGAAAAAAGTATAACATTTAATAAGCCGCGGCTTCTAGCGGAAAGCCAGGGTACACTGACAGTAGGCAAGCTATTTTAGCCCCGAGTAGAATAACAATTACCTCAGGACTTGTAATAGATTGTCATCTGACATTGGAGAAGGTCGCAGTGCATAACTGTTTTATACTTCAATGGACAAAAGGACACTTGACCTGTTCAGGTAACAAGCACGCTGATAGGTTTGCTAGAAGGGCTGCCAATCGAGCACCCCGTTCGTCTGAACCGATAATCGTTCCGTCCTTATCAACTCAAATTGAGATAATTAAAGATTTCACCCACAAAAAGTTTATGAACTGGTAGGACAGGGTTAAGGGGTGATATCTGTCTAAGAAACTACTTCGTTATCCCTTAACAGAGGCAGCCTTGTCTTTCATAAAGCTTGGTAGAAACGCTCTACGAATTGTAACGGGACTCGTCACCGGTCACTGTTAGGATAACAAGCATCTTCATAACTTTAAGCTTGCTGTTAGTCCTCTCTGTCGCTTTTGTGAAGAGAGCGAGGAGACTGTTAGACACATCTTGTGTGACTGCCCCACTATGCAAGACCTCCGAATGAGAGACTTTGGAGAGGAATGGCCGAGCACGGATGGCATCAGGAACACACCTCTGAGCTGTATCCTAGCCTTCGGAAATTCCTTAGCCTGGTTGATGTAGCCGGAGAAAGTGCAGGAGTATGTACAGCTCTGTTCAGATTTAATGCGAATCGCCCGCTGTTAGCTCCAACATGACGCTGGTACTGGAAGAAGACGGAGACATCTTTTGTTTCTATTCAATTCGATTTCTGAGAGGAAGTTACCCTCTTTCGTAACCCAGGTAAAACCGTTCCAGTTTGAAGTGAGCCGAACTGGGGGGTGCAAGGGGTGCACTGCACCCGGGCGCCACCTAAAAGGGGGAGCCGGCGCCTTTTTAATGTTTTCTCCAACAATATCTTATCTTTCTTTTGCAGTATTTAGACCTGTCAGCAGTAGCTAGTCTTCAGAAAGCAGTATTTAATCTCCACAAAACAATTTTAGTCTTTAGAAAGCAGTATTTAGTGTTCCAGACCTGTCGGCACAATCTAGTCTTCAGAAAGCAGTATTTAGTCTTATAGAAACAGTATCTAGTCTTGTTCCAAAGTTATGTATGGTTTCTCCAAAATATTTTATCTTTCTTTTGCTGTATTTAGACCTGTTAGCAGTATCTAGTCTTCAGAAAGCAGTATTTAGTCTCCACAAAGCAATTTTAGTCTTTAGAAGGCAGTATTTAGTGTTCCAGACGCTGTATTTAGACCTGTCGGAAGTATCTAGTCTTCAGAAAGCAGTATTTAGTCTCCACAAAACAATTTTATTCTTTAGAAAGCAGTATTTAGTGTTCCAGACGCTGTATTTAGACCTGTCGGCAGTATCTAGTCTTCAGAAAGCAGTATTTAGTCTTCTAGAAGCAGTATCTAGTCTTCTGCCAACGTTATGTATGTTTTCTCCAACAATATCTTATCTTTCTTTTGCAGTACTTAGACCTGTCAGCAGTATCTAGTCTTCAGAAAGCAGGATTTAGTTTTTTAGAAGGAGTTTCTAGTCTTCTGCCAACATTATGTATGTTTTGTTCTTGATACTGACAGCTACTTCTTTCTGGGTGTCTATCATCATCTTTTTGGAAGCCTCTTGTTATCTATATGGATCTTGTACCACCGGGTACCTCATTTCAGCAGTTGTTACTTTGCTTTTGTGCTTATCCTGCATTGGCAAAGTTACCGTATTGGTGATTTCCAGTCTTGTGCAATAACAAGACAAGTCCATTGGTTTCTAGTTCATATTCTTCGCATTCTTTTATTGAACACATAAGTATTGTTATTGTTGTAAACATTATTTCTTTCCATTTTATTTTAAATAAAGTAAAATACTTTTTTGTACTCATAGCATCTAGATACCTATTTCCCGCAGAGAGGACGTGCGGGAAACGCGTTTTCCCGCACAAATGCTTTTTGTTACCGCAACTAACAGGAATATTTAATGACCAAATGTGCATGTTTATAAGAAAAGGTTAATAAGAACGTTTTATACATTCGTGTGCAGACAATACAGCTTTAAAATATTTAAAAAAATCTATAAAAATCAATTTGCAATCAATAAAATCAATATTGACGTTTTGAATTTCGGCTGATTTTTTCCTGTCAAAATCCCACATGCAACTCATATCGTCACACAGGGACGTTTTATTCGTTACAAAAAATATTGTACAATACTCATGCGGAAAGGATTTTTCCAGCATTCGCACGCAAATGCAGAACTCACTCCCTTCGGTCGTTCGTTCTTCAAACTAGCATCTTCATGTGAAAAGCGAGCCTTTCCGCATTTGTATCGTAAATAACTATTATTATATTGCTTTTTGATTTTATTACATATATTAAAATGGTTTGCGATATATTTTTCAATATATAGTTTATATATAACTTACTATCAATATATAATTTTCATTTCTTGTGAGGTTCGACTTATCGTTCCACTGTATTACTAAAGTAATACAGTAATTATTTTCATTTACTACAGGAATTGTGTAAAATAAATGGATTTATTATACTTATTTATTTTCTTAATTTTTCTTTGTGATTCAGTCATCTTGGTCATAAATCACATCACCCCGCTTGCCTGTTCGGAACTTATACAACATTACAGAGCAGGTAAAACCTGGATTGAATGCCTTGTGAACGTAGGTCGTTTCTAGTACAATTTTATGCCTCTACGAGCGGCTCTTTTCGCATTATATCTGAACAGAACTGTACAAGGGGCCCGTTGTGGCCTAGGTGCTGTATGCGGAATCATTTCTACATACATGGCTCTTGGTCCGTCTGATAATGCGATATTCCAAAGACTCTATTTCCTTTCGGAAAATATTCTAAACATATTGTAATGTCCTTTTTTATGGAGGGCTTGGATGATGAAATGAAACCCAATCTTCCCTTTACTAATTTGTACTTTATTTCTATTACTAATTCTTATACCTAGTCGATGCCGACTGTCGCTTTTCAACGTCGACTCGATTACTTACATATTTGCTGAGGTGTATATTTTACCTGAGTTCAATACACCTCAGCTTTTGTCTACAATGCAATCTACCTTCACAATATTGTAGAAATAAAAAAATATTTAGAATAACTTTTAAATATTTAAAATGGCCATAGACCGCTTGGTCTGCCTGACAAGGTGAACTTCCAAAGACTCTCTCTGCTAAAAAAAATTAAAAAAACCGATTTTTTGATATTTTCAAACCCACTTAGGTTCACAACGAGTTCTAAAGCTAAGCATGGTGATGACTCAATATTTTCTTAAGACTTCTATAGCCATATTCAATAATTCTAATACGTTTTTGCTTAAATCCCATTATTTACATTTCCCATTCTTGAAATAAATTTTTAGTCTGAATATATGCAACTTACATTGCAGCGATTATTTGCTTCATAAATCCGTGTTGCCTCAAAGGCTGCATAGAATACTTTTTTGATTATTAGAAAATTGTTCTCATCTTTGAATTTATTCTTTTAATAAAATTGTAATAAATCAGAATTTGTTAAATTTTCTGGTTTTTGCGACATCTATCGATTTTTTAGATAGTTCTAGCTTTGACAGACCTCAAAGCACCGTTTCTTACCTTCGTATGGGCTTTTGTTCATATGAGACAAAATTAATTTATGAAATTAAACGACGTTATATTACTTATCAAGGAATATTTATACCAAATTGCAAAAAAGGTGAGGGTAGACAATTTTTTGAAACAACTCAAATAAACTATAAATTCGTTGTGTTTTTGGGGGGTTACCCATATTCATAAAATTTAAGATGACGTAAGTCCATTGTTTTATGAAACATCTGTACTTGCCTCTCTCACCTTATTTATAGATTGTAGCGTCGTAATACAGTTCTATAGCTTTCCTCTTTATTTTAGATCTAACGTTCTATCCAACAGGAGGCGGTAAGTTCTCATGCAAATATAATGTTAATGATTTAAAAATATTTTGTTTACTGTTTAGATCAACAACATTATTTTTCAAGATGAATTTACTAAGTCCATCAATGCAAAATTTTTTAATGAAACTTTCATCTCAAGCAGCAGAATTCTTTGTTGGTGTGCTCAAAGCATTAAATGAAGCAGCTTTGCCTGCAATTAGTGCACTCTTTGGGGGATTACTTGGTGGACCAACATGTTTAGCAATAGGTAAATCATTATTATCTTAATTATTTTTATTAAAAATTTATTTCCTAACTTCCCATTTCCTATTTTTTAGGTGGTATTGTTGGATCTTGTGCAGCAGCTGCTATAGGACTGGGATATTGTAAACCTTTAGCTGACATTATTGAAAAGTTAGCTTTAGCTGCAAAATATCTTGTTAAAAACATACGTATAGAAGATCTAAAGCCATTGCTAATGTTGTTATTAAGTTTTCGTTCAACAACATATTAATGTAAACGCCTGACAATTATGTTTACTTATTTTTACATAAAATGTGTGAGTCATTATGAAAATCTTTTTATTAAATATGTGTATATATCTGTACCTTAGAGGTAAAGGATTGTATCTCCATTATTTTAGGTTTTATAGGTATATATTTTACATGGTACAAATGGTATAAAAATGCATAGTTACATTGTTAATTAATTATGGATTTTTTTTCAATTTTTAAGATGAATAAATCACAACCATCTGGAAAGGCAAAAAATAAAACCACTTATAACTAAATATTAAAAGATTCATTAAACATAGATAATTATTATTATCATTAATGACTGTAAATCTCTTCTTCATGACTGATTCCAGATCACTTTTCTAAAAAACAAAATTATTTGTATTTAAATGTAACACAGTACCTTTATGATGAAATTATTTATTGAAATAAGTGCAGCGACGTTTCGTTTTAGTGAAAACAAAGACGTCAGGCATAACGTCAAAGATGAAAGAATGAAAATGGCGAAACTCCACATTAAGATGTAAATAACAATCATAACAAATTAAAAAATCGATATATTTCATGAATTCACGCGTAAATACAAAAACATGGATTAGGACTGTCGCCCTGCAGTCACCTTGATTTCTTTGATTGATCCCCAGTCTATTTTTATTCATTTTGGTGTGGTTATTGCGTTCCCTTGCTATTCTTATGTATATCTTATCACATTTATATACAGGCTATTTCATAATATATGAGCAGGACTTCAGGATATGATAGCTTGTCCAAAAAATTGAAAAAAAGTTTCTATCAACTTACCCTCTAAAATACACCAATTTCGAAACAGGGTGTTGAAATTTAATAAAAAAAATTTGCTTTTTGCGAATATCTCCAGAACCGTTTATCGTACAAAAAACAGCTTTTGTAAGCATTTTCTACTCATAATAAGCTAATTTTGTGCGAGAAAAAAAATTTTTGAACTCTTAATTGGTGAAGATTTTGAAGGGGTAGTGGTTGTCTTTCTCCCCAACTTCTACGCCACTAGAAAAAGTACAGTTTTGAGACGCCCATTTGAACCGCCAATGTTTTCTACACAAAAAAAGGAACTGAAGGTCATGAGCTCTAAAGTTGACCGTTTTCGAGAAAAATGTTATGTTGAATAACGCCGTTTCCATTGACTGTCTAACACGCAGGAAAATTCCCGGAGTGTTCCGAATGATGTCGCAAGATACAACAATTTTCAGATGGCCCCAAAAGAAAAGGAGATTCGTGATGGCCAAGGATGCGGATCTTCTCGACCGATCCAACGGTCTGGGTATTCGTCGTCTAAGTATTAGCGAGCAACCAAACTAACGTAGGCCGGAGCTCCATCATGCATAAAGTATATGTTTTGTCTTACTTGAAGCGGTACATCTTCCAGCAGTTCCGGCAGTACTTCTTCTAAAAATTGTCAATAATCTGCACCGTTTAATCTGTTCGGTAAAAGATGTAGGCCTATCAAATGATCACCGACGATGGCCTTCTGCAATTTCATGTGGATTTTCTGCTGCCCATATGTGGCTATTGTGAAAATTGAAAATACCATCGTTCGAGAAAGATGCTTCATAAACAGAACTTCGGCTCCAAACACTGGCGGAAAATCTCTTGGCAATAAGGCTTGTACTCTTTGGATAGGAACACAAAAGTTGCCTTTCCAAAATTCTCCAAACCGTGGAGTGAGACAGGTTTAAGTTGTGAGCAATTTTTCTGGTACTTGTGGTCGGATTTGCATTAATTTCGTTGAGGACAGCGTCTTCTACTTGGGGATTTGCAACTTCCATAGGCCGCCCATTATCAGCAGTATTCCTTTTAAAACTTCCATTTTCCCGTAGTCGTTGTGAATGCGTAGAAACAAGTTATGGTGTGGTTATGGAATTATTAATTAAGGTATCCTCTTTTTAATACAAAAAGCCGTTTTGAAAAATCACTTTTAGTTCTTTAGAAATACATTTTTGAAATAATCGACAATTTTTTCGAATTTTGCAATTAAGTTTTAAAAATTCGTATAAAATCCATTTCTTGGAATATGAGTATGAAAAATTCCCAAAGTGTTAATAAAAGTGTCCTCTTTTCAATGAATCAACCCGTTTTGAAAAATAACTTTTAATTTTTGAGAAAACAATATTTGAAGTTTTGTTAAAATTTTCGATGCTGCAATTTTCATCGATAACTTTCAAAATTCGCCATAAAATTAATTTTTTGAAGGATCCTTGTGGAAATATCACCAATTATTAATTAAAATATCCTCTTTTTAGTGCAATAAGCCGTTTTGAAAAATCACTTTCAGTTCTTGAGAAATAAATTTTTGAAATGATCGACAATTTTTTAGAATTTTGCAATTTTCGCCAATTAAGTTTTAAAAATTCGTATAAAATCCATTTCTTGGAATATGAGTATGAAAATTTCCCAAAGTGTTAATAAAAGTGTCCTCTTTCCAATGAACCAACCCGTTTTGAAAAATAACTTTTAGTTTTTGAGAAAACAATATTTGAAGTTTTGATAAAATTTTCGATGTTGCAATTTTCATCGATAACTTTCAAAATTCGTTATAAAATTAATTTCTTGAAGGATCCTTGTGGAAATATCGCCAATTATTAATTAAAGTATTCTCTTTTTAGAGTTGCTTCGTTAGTTAAGTCAGTATCAAAAAAGTTCATTTTGTATCTTGGAACCAAATAAGTTGACATATCTTATCAGCTTTCTTATTAATTTCATTTTTATTCAAATATCGCAATAATGTGACAATGTAGAGTATCACTTCAGAAATGCACCAGAAGTTATAACCATAATGGCCGGATATCCCGTCGAAAGGGATATCCGGCTTTTCGCAAAAAAATCATTTTTGATTTGTTAATTATAACCATTGATCATTACCAGGGCTGGACAGTTTAGAAAAGTGACCTTCAAACGCCCCCCACAGTCCAGCCTCAATGTTCAGCAATGTGAAGGATGTAAAGCGGAGCATGCGGAAGGAACCATTTGGTTTGTGTAATGTGATCTTTTGCAGCGTTGTTACAGAAAAGATGTGTGAATTTTGAACACGTTGGTTCTCTGGTTTTTTTTTTTCAAAATAACCCTGGCTCAACAGAATTGAATACTTTACCTTATATATTAGTTGGCAAGAATTTTAACAAATATTGTTGAATATTCTTGCGCTGGATCTGCATAACCAGATGTCAGTTCACCTTTTAACTTTAAACTATGTAAAGAGTGTCTTGATTTGAATCATCCAAATCTTTGAAAATTAGTTACTGTTCAGATAAAGAAAAGGACGTTTTTGGTATCGGTCCTGTATGCAATCCATTAACGCCTTCTCCATGTTTTTTAATGCAATATCTCTAACCTGTAAAGTTGTGCTCGTACTCTTCTTAACACTCCAATAGTCGCATGTCATCTAAGAGATGACGTAGACAGTCTGTCTGGACTAACCAGTTAACACTTTTGCATGCAGTCATCTTAATGACATGCGCCCACTTTTGTAATACCCAGAGGCGCGGCTACTCTAGTGTTAATAGTGTCAGCTGGTGCATTAATCTAATTGAGCTTTCAAGAGTAACTCGTTGATATTTAACATCCATTGGCTCTTTGGAATTTTGTTGCCATTAGAAGCTGCTGTACTTCCCTTGGTGTTGGTTTAAGTCTAAATAGACGTTATTGTAATTGTGTTAGACTTTTGGTACATGGTTGATTATTCGACTGATTTGGATAAAACATTGGGCGAGGTGGTAATATCGCAGGTGGAATGAATCAATATGGTTCGTTGATTGGATAATAAGCGTTTTTAGTGTAAAAAGTTGTTTTTTGTATGCTATCTAGTCCATCTCAATATTGACATGACCTGTTGTGTCACATTGTGCTTGGATACAATACGTGTAATAAGAAGTAAAAACTGTTGTTTGAATGAATAAAAACAATAATTTTAATAATGCTTGATAAACTTTATTTTAAAATGGTAAAATTCACCAAATTCTATAAACACCTTACTAGATATATGTATAACAAGTAAAATGTAACAATACTACATTCAAAATGTTTACAATACACTCAACTGGCCCTATTTTTTAATTCTTAAACTACGTATAAAAACGGTGATATGGCACGATTTTTATTAAGAAATGCTTTAAGAAATACAACAAAGTAATTAAGTACGTTAAAAAGAATTTCCTACATAAAAAATGCAACAGTCCTTAATACCAATAAAACATAATCACCTTACATTTTGGCAATCATCAATTTGTGTTAAACATCGTCTTATTCCTTAAATTTAACTACATAACACCCGCCAACAATTTTAATTAATCGTGTTCAATTCAATTTAATAACACCTGAGGAGAACGATTTGATTAATAATAAATTTCTTTACATATTTTCTATAATTAATGGCAGAGTAAAAATTTTCCTAGTTGAGCGTAAGTCTTCAAAAATCTTATACGCTTAAATGTTGTTATAATACCAAGCGGGTTCCGTTAACGGATTCAAAAGACAACACCACAGAACGAAACCCGCTACGAAAACGCAAGCCGTTACGGTTCTTTGCCGTTTTTCATAATTGACTAATTCTTGGACGTCGGGAAATCCCATGTGATTGCAAAATGCGTGCACTATAAATGTCGACGCAAAATGACCTGTTCTTAGGAATAAATACGCAGAGTATGTTCCGAAAATAGTCGTGTATAAGAATTGAAAACCTGCAAGAGTGATGTAATAGTATTTAAAATTTACAAGAACAACAGACAGATTTTTTTACTTACTAACTATTATAAAAGCCTTCTTTAGATCCTCTCCTTTTCTCATTCTTTCAATCATATGATGAAGATGACCTGAAAATAATATACAATTAGAATACATAAATAACATAATATTACGTGTTATAAACTGAATTTTTAAAATCTTATGTTTGAGAAAGTTATTTTCAAAATAATTCTTGCAGTGTTAATCCGATTAAAATTCGCACATATTTTTACTAAACGCACTAATTGGACCAGATCACTTGACTAAGCGACATTTTATCGTTTTTAGACATTTTCGTGCTGC